ATATATATATATATGGAGAGAGATAGATAGATAGATAGATAGATCTAAACCAATCAAAAATCATTCTAGCTACAACTTTTAAAATTAAAGTTAAAAAATTTATCTTCTATGAAAATTTATGATTAGATAATAGTGTATTTTTTAAGTTATACATTAATTTTAATTAAATTCATTTTTTTAATAATACTTAACAAATAAATAATAGTTGCTCTAAAAAAAATAGAGTATATATAACCTTAAGTTAAAATCATGATATTAAAAATATATTAATTAATAAAAAATTTAAGTGCACATATAAAATATGTAACTTATAGCATAGTAAGTTGGTTCAGAGTTTTGTGGATGTTAGAGAGGAGAGTATTTAAGGTTTTCTCTAAGAAGGGAGCCTCGTAAGCTCATTCTCAAAGAAAATCTAGAGAGAGATTTTAGAGAGAAAGACTCTAAGTCCGTGAGCTACTTTCTCTCCCAAATTTTTCTGTTTGATTCTTCTTTTTCTCTAAATCACTAACTTCTTTCTTCTTTTCTTGGAGTTCAGGTTAGGAAGCTTGTTTTTGGAGGATTGAAGTCCGAGAGTCAAGCTTTCTTAGGAAAATTCTTCTTTTTTCTCACTTCTTGTGTAACATTCCAAATTTTATACAATAGTTAATTATTATTTTTATATTTATGAAAATTATTTTCTTATAGTTATTAATTAATAAAAAGGGTTTATAAAATATTTTAGAGATTTTTTTTAAATATTTATAAAAAATAAATTTTTATATGAAATTCTAATTTTATTAGGCCTAGAACGGACTGTTCCAAAAAGTGGAACGGGTCGTTCCAAACGATGAAAGTAAACTATTTTTGAAGGACCAGAATAGGCCATTCCAAATGGTGGAACGGGTCGTTCCAAATTAGTAAAGAGGCCAATTTTGGTTATTCCAGAACGGGCCGTTTCCAAAGTGAAACGGGCCGTTCCAAGATTCTAAAAATGCCTAAAAACCTTAGTTGGAAACGGCCCGTTCTAATTATGTTCAATGTGTGTTAAAATCAACCCTAGAACAGGTCGTTTTGATTTTTAAAAGGGGTCGTTCTGATTTTGAGAACAGACCGTTCTAGTTGTAAATTTTGTATATAACGAATGGGTCCAGAACGGGTCGTTCTAGTTTGAGAATGGGCCGTTCCGGGCACCCCTGAATGCCTATAAATAGGAGGGAGGGGTTGTGAAAAAATTATAACTAACTAAGGTGAAAACTTAGAGAGAGAAAGAGAAAGAGAAAGAGAGTGAGAAAGAAAAAGAAAGAAAAAGGGAATCCAGAAGAGGAGATTAGCAAGGTTCTGCTCTAGTTTTAGCTCCTGTTTATCGAGGTAACGAGGGAGTGAGAAACTTCGCTCGAGAGTGTGGGAATAATTGTTGGGTAGTTGGATTGGCCCCAATCCCTTGCCTGATGTATGTTTCTACGAACATGAATGTGTTCTGTTTTACTTTCTATTTGCTCTACTGTGTTCCTTGTTGGAAGTAATGAATGAATATGTAATTAATTTTAAAAATAAATAAGTTTTAATATGAATAAGAGTGCTCTCTGAGGATTCCTGTGCGGACTTTATGAGGAACAATTATGACATGACTATGTGAAATATGAACAAATGACATGAGACATAAGAATGAACTATTGAGATAAGCTATGATTATGAGAATATAAAAAATGATGACATGATGTACTAAATGAAATTCTGTAATAAGTCGAATGTTGAGTCAATGAAATAATGAATGTATGAAATGCATCATATGCATATATAACTCCTGGTGTGCCGCTTATACCGCATACCAGATGCAAAATTAACACACAACATGCGCAACCAGAACGGGCCGTTCTGGTTCCAGTGTATTCAAGAAATTTGGCATTCACCTATGCATCTACGTGACATCCACCTGACATCCACGTGCCCAACAGTTAACTCTGTTTAAATAATTTGGACGGAAGTCTGACATTGCAATAATTTAAATTATTAGGGACCAAATTGAAACCAAAAATTAAAGTGGAACTAAATTGAAACAAACAAATATTATAAGGGACCAAATTAGGTTTTTAGCCAAAGAAAAATAGAGGGAAGAAATTGCCACAATCCATTATCTCTGTATAGAGAGAGAAAGAAAGAGAGTGAGCGAGAACATCGTATTCACCTTCGAAACCGTGTTTTGACCCGAAACCCTAACCAAAGTTGATGTGCGTCGATGGAGCTTTGTTCTTGTTGAGGACTTTCCAATCCCATAGTTTCTGGTAGACGTAATCTTTCTGATTTTCTCTTTTATTTTCTTTTTCACAATTTCGGTACTTCTTTATTTTCTTTACTCTCTAGTTTGGACGCAGGCCTTTTTATGAACCATTTTTTTTCTTAATTTCATTTTTCTTGTTTGTTACTTGAATTTGTTTCGGTTGTTATTTGATTTCATTTTATACAAACATCTCCTCAAAGATGTAATAGTGCACACCTTCTCTTAACAAATTCAAACATTTTACACTTAAAAATTTATCTCTTAATTTACATATTTAGTAATTATTTTAAAAATTATTATAAATTTTATTAAAGTTAACTATATATATCTGAAAAAAAATA